TCCTCCAGCTCCACACAGTGTTATCTCTTTTGCCTTTATCATACCTTTTAGCACAGTTTCCCAATCTACCCTCATCACTTTACTCTCATAGCATAATTTCTTTTGTTTAAATTGGAGTCTAGTTTCTGATTGAACTACATCACTTTCAAAATTAGTGTAAAATGCTATAATTTTGTGGTAATTCTTTCGTAAAGGCCCCTTTTCAATATTAGTTTTCCTGACTTATACTCTGCTTTCTATTATCACTATTGTTTGGTGACCTATAAAGAACTCCCAAAGAGCCTGCCTCTTTCTGTTTCTTAGGTCCAAACTGATTCTACAATTTTAGAACTAAGGCCACCTCTCAGTAAAGTACTCATACCTCCCAGTTTTGGTTTTCTTGTAGTCACACCTTTACAATGGCTGCCATGTCAGACATATAAACTTCTAGTCGAGGTGGAAATTCATCTGATTTATTGCACATGCTGTGGACATTCAGATTCAGTCTTTGTTTAATCACTATCCTTTGTAAAACTATGCCATACTCTTACTGCTATGTTGATTTACAGCCTTGCTATTTCCCTTTCATCTTTTCAATCATGCCCTGCAATATACCTTCCATCCTCTATTTAGCTTAAAGCTCTCTCTATTTACATAATTATATAACTCACTAGAACACCAATCCCAGATCAGTTCGAGTGAAATCTATCCCAGCAGTACAGCCCCTACTTTCCCCACTACTGGTGTCAATGCCCTAGAAATTCTTCCATACTAATCTTTGAGCCATGTATTCTCTAATCTTCTTTAGTCTATGCCAATTTACACATGGCTGAAAATATATTCCACAGATTATTACCTTTAAAGCTCTGCTTTTTAATTTACTGCAAAGCTCCAGACTGGCTATTCACAAGACATTTGCTAATCTTATCTATGTTGTTGGTACCTATATGGACAATGACAACTGAATCCTTTTCCTCCCACTGTAAGTTCCTCTCCAGCCTTGAGCAGTTATCCTGATCTCTGGCATTGGGCAGCAGGCAAAACAGCCTGCTTGATCCAGTCTTGGCTGCAGAGAATGATCTCTATCACTCTTGCTAATATTGACACCTGGCACCACTACATTTCCTTTGACTCCCCCCAATTGAATAGCTTACTGTAACAAGATATCACGGTCAGTCTGATCGTCCACACTGCAGCCCTCGCTCTCCTCCAGACGAGCTGCAAGGACTTTAAGCCTATTGCAAGGGGTCAAAGGCTCTTCCACTCATTTTCTCAATTCTCTTACCTGCCTGACTCATCATCGAACTCTCCTGTAACTGACCACTGACTGAATCAGATAATGATAATTTAAGGGGTGTGACTGACTTCTAGAACAAAGAGATGAGATAAACTTCTACCTGCCCGATACATCACATTGCTTGTAGCTTCACCTCCAGTTCGAAAACCGAGCTAAAGCTCCTCAAGCTGCAGACACTTAGCACGTGATTGCTATGAATTGTTATTACATCCAAAAACTCCCACATGCTGCAGATGCACCACATCAGCTACCCTGCCTTCGTTATTGTGCTAGGTAAGTGAATTAATGTTTTTCAATTAGTTTATAGTTCCCCTCCTCACCTAGCTCCTGGTTTCACAACCTGTGCATCCAAGCAGCACTATAAATCCTTTATATGGAGATATTTTTAATCAACCTGTTCAGAGATATTATGGTACACCTCTGAAATAGGCCTCCTGGCTCAGAGGTTGGCCACTATCACTTTACCACAAGAACCCTAAACCTTTATATGTATACTGCTTGCAAATCAATGAGTCAGCTGTGCTGAAGCAGAGAAACCAGATTCACTACAGCTGCTGTTAGAGGGCTTGTATGTCCCTATTGAAGTCTGGAAGAAAGTTAACTTACTTCTTTTTAAAATAGTTTTAGTTTGTTGCTAAATGAAAACAAAAAGTAGACTTTACAGAAAGATTAACCCTTCAAATCACTTCACTCATGTGATTTCTAGCTTCGTACTCAGTGCAGCTGACTTATAAGGTACCAAGACCAAATGAATTTTCACTGAAATCTATTGCAATTAAAAGTCAAGACACAAAGCGTTGCCAGCTTGTTCCTAAATGTCTTACCTTTTCAAATTCATCCAGTTTTTTCCTATTTTACTGAAAGCCTCTGGACTTGGTGTTGTCATAGCTTCAAAATCTACTAACTGAAAATGATGAAACATAATCAAAATACTTGTCCAAAAAGTTATCAAACAAAATATATTACACCAAGGATCAGATTAATACACAGGTGTCCAAACAGAGGCTAAGGGCTATTTTCAATCCTTGAAGCTGAGCAATGCAATCATGAAGTTCAAGTATTGATGTACTTCTGTATTTCTCACTATCTGAGTTTTGTGAAGCTTAGGAAAGAGCTATTTAGCACAAGTGCCTCAACTGGAGGACAAGTTCTCCAACTGAATGCTTAAATTTATTCACACTGGCAGTTGGAAATAAATGTACAAATGACAAGGAATGTAAGTTGGTACACAAAGTTCCATGTTATCCACCTAAGCAATCCATGATGTCAAAATATTGCATGAACCCACTTTAAAACTTGTGTCTTTAATTGATTTTTTTTAAGGAAAGTTATTGAGAACAGAACACTGACCACACGGAGGTAAAACTAACCACAAGTTATTCAACTGAGACAGCAGGGATCTGAATTAATAGTTTTGTAAATACAATTCATAATGTCATGGTGTTTTACATGGTTCACTTAACACTGAATTATCACTCAGTCATTTTCAGTGGTTTGACTTTTCTGAAAGAGTTGATTCCAGTGAGTACTCATTCACTGGAAAAATGAATTATATTTGTTCAGCATATCCTTCCAACTGCCTAATATACAACAAAATAAGCATTTCAAATAGACAGAATACAAATCAGAAGAAAACCTGTGTCATCAGGCCATAAGAAATACCCACAACTCCCCAGCAATGAACTAACAACAATGTACAGCATAGAGCACCTTGAATGAAGAAAAACCTCCCAAGGCTCTTCATGACATCATAACAGAGATATATAAAAAGTGAAGTGAAGCTCTCCCAGTAAGTAAGTAGATAATCTGCAGAGCCTTGTGTTTTATCGTGGAATATGAGAATATCCCAAATTCAATCTTCAGTCTGTGTTCAACGAACTAATTTCAGCTGGGGCTCTAATTGAATACAACCGAGCATTCAATGGTAAATGTCTGAGCAATATGCAAGCAATTTTTCTATTTGTTCAAAGCCCAATGAAGCTTTTCAGTTAACCAGATGGAAGGTATAATAATCAACCTGAAAACTTGCAGTGAAGAACAGATGGCCTAAGAAAAATCAAAGAGACAACCACCAACATTGTATATAATTTACTTAGTATCTACTGCCATGAACATTTTAAAGAAACATGCATTTTTAAAATTTTTGTACTATTCATGTGATCCTAAACAGTTTAATGTATTATGGTGTAGGACCAGAGGGCATAATTTCAGATTCAGGAGGTGCACATTTAAGACAGAAATGGAAGAGGAGTTTCCTATCTGAGGGTAGTGAATCTGTACAATTCTTTACCACAGACAGCTGTTGAGGCTGGGTCATTAAATATATTTAAGGTCAAAATAGACAAATACTTAATCACTAAGGGAATCAAGAATTATTGGGAAAAGGCAGGAAGATGTAGTTGAGGATTATTAGATCAGTTGTGATCTCAGTGAATGGCAAAGCAGACACAATAGGCTGAATGCTCTGCTTCCGTTCCTACATCTTATGATTTTCAACTGTCTAAAGACAAGCTTAAAGGAGTACTGTTTCAGCATGCATCCATTCTGTGTTTTCTCCCTTTGTGTCACAAGTCAAATACCTTAAACAAAAATATACTTAGCACATGACAGAATACATTGGCTAAATTCTTACAACTCCAAAAAGTCCTGAAGAGTGCAATAGTCCATTTTAAAATTCAGGAATGTAGCACTGAGGTGAGGAGAGTCAGGCCAGATTACACATTCTGTATATTTGACATGTGGACTGAAACTCCTTACTCTGACTCCTCCGAATATGCGCTTCTTTTTCAGTTCCACTTTCTCCATTCAAAGATAGATTGAGAAATCCAATTCCTTGGAGTAGAACCAGTTTTCTCCTCCTTTCTATAATAAATTATCTCTCAGACTGTCTTTACTGCATCAATGATGGTTGGGATAATTTTCAGATCTCCTAGCTAAAAGTTTTTGTTAAAGATTTGCTGCCCAATGATGTTGCCAAGGCTGTATTACTACCACGATTTATATCCTTTTTCATTTTCTAGGATTTAGATCAATTCGTCCTGACTTTTCCTCTCCTCTACCCAAATTATCCCATCCAATGTTTAACCAAGTTTCCCAACCACCTTAAAACCCGTTCATTAAACCCCATTTAACAACCAAACAAGCTGACATTCAACTGCAAGTCATATTGATCATTTGCTCGGTCAGGAATGAGTGTTCTCATTGTATCGGAGCATTTTTTGATGGAGGAAGAGAGAGATATAAAAGAAGAAATAAGTATGAAAAAAAAACACAAATTCACTTGCTGACTGTTCACTGAAAATTGCCTTGTCAGATCATTGATGACCATTGCATTAATGATGAAAACTGATAAGAATAAAAGTGGCCACAAGATGGACATTACCACTTCAGCCACAATCAAATTTCAGACTGGGACATTAGATGGAGCATTTCCTGAATTGAAGATCTTTCTTACTGACAGGTGTATTTTTAATAACATCCCTATGATAATATACATTATTCACACTTTGAAAGAAATTTATGATTCATCCATACCCCTTCTATCCTCACAGCTGAAAAAGATAATGTTGAGTAGAGACCCATACTTTGCCTTATCACAATGTTCTCAAAACTTACCTTTCCTTTGGGGATTCTCCCTGTGATCTCTTTCCCACTAGCCATTAATGCTCCCATGATCACTGAATATGCCACTACACTAGAAGAAAGAGCACATCAGCATTAGAACACAAAAGCATTTCTATTCTCATGACAACTGATCTCAGATAGCTATTTCACAAACCTGCAATAATGAGTCCTTGAAAGGCAGCTCCAAACATTACGGGTGATGTCTCATCCAGCCTATGAAAAGTAGCCATTCTCCAAAAAAAAAAATCAAGGGGCTTGGTGCATATCATACCCAGCAACATTGCAGTATAACTGGTACAGATCAATTGGAAGAGACCTTCTAAGAAAACATTCTTCCCTCTCCAGCCTACCTCCCTGTCTTTCCAATAAACACAGCTCAACAGGAAATCAGTGGGACACTCATTTTTCCAAAGAGAAGCAAGTTTCTAATCTTCATAGTAATGAAAAAGCCAGCAGTATTTCTGTTAAGGCAGGGTCGGCAGACACAAAACACCACAGAATGAATGTTCAAACTGTTCAGGAATTAAACAAACAGCCACCTCAAATGCTCCGTGAAGAAGAGTCGAAGAGATAACATCTGACAAATAAGGTGTAGAGCTGGATGAACACAGCAGGCCAAGCAGCATCATAGGAGCAGGAAGGCTGACGTTTCGGGCCTAGACCCTTCATCAGAAATGGGGGTAGGGAAGGGGGTTCTGAAATAAATAGGGAGAGAGGGGGAGGCGGATAGAAGATGGATAGAGGAGAAGATAGGTGGAGAGGAAACAGACAGGTCAAAGAGGCGGGGATGGAGCCAGTAAAGGTGAGTGTAGGTGGGGAGGTAGGGAGGAGATAGGTCAGTCCAGGGAGGACGGACAGGTCAAGGGGGCGGGATGAGGTTAGTAGGTAGGAGATAGGGGTGGGGCTTGAGGTGGGAGGAGGGGATAGGTGGGAGGAAGAACAGGTTAGGGAGGCGGGGACGAGCTGGGCTGGTTTTGGGATGCGGTAGGGGAAGGAGAGATTTTGAAATCACCTCGAAACCGATATCCATTTCAAGCCCACCGACTCCTAGAATACACCTCCTCCCACCCACCTTCCTGCAAAAATGCCATCCCCTATTCCCAATTCCTTCGCCTCCGCCGCATCTGCTCCCAGGATGAGGCATTCCACTCCTGTACATCTCAGATGTCCTCGTTTTTCAAGGACCGCAACTTCCCCCCGCTCAGTGGTCGACAACGCCCTCAACCATGTCTCCTGCATTTCCCGCAACTCATCCCTCACACCCCCTCCCCGCAATAACAACCAAAAAGAAACCCCCTCATCCTCACGTACCACCCCACCAACCTCCGGATCCAACGCATCATCCTCCGACACTTCCACCATCTGCAATGTGACCCCACCACCAAAGACATTTTTCCCTCGCCACCCTTATCTGCTTTCCGGAGGGACAACTCTCTCCGTGACTCCCTTGTCCGCTCCACACTCCCCTCCAGCTCCACCACACCCGGCACTTTTCCCTGCAACCGCAGGAAGTGCTACATCTACCCCTACACCTCCCCCCTCACCCCCATCCCAGGCCCCAAGAAGACTTTCCACATCAAGCAGATGTTCACCTGCACATCTGCTAATGTGGTATACTGCATCCGCTGTCCCCG